ACCCCTTACCCCTTACCCCTTACCCCTTACCCCCCTTTTTCGTAGCTCAAAATTACACAAAATATGAAAAAAAAGGCAAAAAATCTGAGTTTCAATTTCGTTCAAAAAATAAAAAATGTCCGTTTTGACGAAATCGTAGTTTATCCTTCCTTAAACCAGGACTGCCATAACTCAGAGACAATACCCCCCAAACCAATCGTCACCCATCGCTGTTCTCTTCTCGCCACCTCACAGGCCCCCCCGGTTCGCCACTGAATTGCCTTCCTCCCTCGACAAAACCCAGATCTCTCTACAAGACCTCGCGCTCCTGCAAATTACAGGTTACAGGGCAACGCCCCAGCTCCGGCCAGCGTCGTTCTGGCATCGGCAAACCAGGGGCACAGAACAGAGCAACTCTGCGGCAATCAGTCCAGGTTCGACCTTCCCTGAACTCCTCTATCCCAGATATACACGAAAACTGGAAGCTGCCACAAATCCAGAAACCAGAAAGCTTGATATAGCATAAAAAAGCTGAAGTATGAGAATTAGGCCGCCGAGATCCTAAAAGGCTCAAAAACCTCTAACTCCCTAACCCACCATTCCGAATTCTCTCAAAATTGCCTTACTCACTGCAAAGCTCTACCAGGCCTCACGCCCCCTACTTTCTGCTGGGTTACAGGGCAACACAACTCACCCCAGCTCCGGCCAGCGTCGTCCCTACAGCTAACCTTGGTTGTCCCGTAAGATGCCCACCCCAAAGCATCCCCAGATCACTCCACTAGGCCTCACGCTCCTGCATCGGCAGATTACAGGGCAGCACCCCAGCACCGGCCAGCGTCGTTCCGGTATCGAACAACCGTAGATCACCGAATATAGCAAAATCAAATTAACCCAAAAAGTTACTGGAAGTCCCAGAATCCTAAGCACTCTTAGGTCCCTCCGACGGAAAATAGTAAAACTGCAAAAGAATCCAAACTGCTGCACCGCCAACTTCCTTCCCTCCCCGCAACTATTGAAGAAGACCACAGGTCTCGTGTTCAGTCCTCGATCCAACACACAACTGGTCTCATACCCTCCCATGCTGGAGTTACAGGACTCCACCAAGTCCCGGTACCAACCAACCTAGTGTAGACGGTAAGGAGTGCCTTCCACCCTCGGCAACCCCCCATAGCCGCATGCCCCAAAGGTGACAGGGATTTTAACCCCAGCTACGGCCACGTCGAAAGTGCTGGTTCTGTCTTCCTCCCTCGACAGAACTCCCCCAAGCCTCGTGCTCCTCCCAGGTCTCAGAGCAGAATGCTCCAGCACCGGTCTGCGTCGTCCCAGCCCCTTCCTTCTGACCTACTATCAAAACCCACACCCCCCCCCTCTGTTGCCCCCCTTCCCACCTCTTACCCAGCAGCCTTCTTGGAGCAAAGGACTCCAATGTATCCTTGAAAAACAAACACGTAAAAACGAGCCCAAACGTCCCATATGACAGAATCTCGGTGAGTAGGTCCATTAAAGGAGAGAACTGATTGCACCCACCCCCAAGCCTATTCAACCTTACTCCGGTAAGACTTACTGCAGTGGAGCCACCATCCCCCCTGCTTGTATACCTTTTTCCACTCTGCAGGTTAGCCCCTTTCCCGCAAAGCGCGTCCTTTCCCCCCATCATGCCATCATAACCCCCCCAACCAGTACCCTCCTTAGGGGAGAACCAAGCAAAAATAGATTGAAAAAACATAACCAGAATTATGCACCACTTTCCGATCGTACATCAAGAGCAGAAGAAGAGCCATGCCCTAAGCAAAGGTCAAGGGTCCATGAACTGCTGCTGGTTGTCCCTTTCTAAATTCTAAAGCCGTCCTTTTTGGTGATGATGGATTACTCGTGTTTGACGCCGTCCACATCCAAGGGCCATCATTTATTGCGTATTGTGTTGGATTACTCATTAATTGACCCTTCACACCACCACGCACCACCCTACAAATCCTGTCAGATAACAGTCCTGGCTGCAGTACTCTCCAAATGTGCAAAATGAGAGTGAATCCTCGGCTAGAACATGGAAAGAGATGCATTGTCATCCGTTTTGTCTTTTGTGCATGTGGAGAGTAGTGCAGCGAGGTCCAACTTCATTCCATTCGATGCTAATTTTTAACCATCAGGTCACGGCAAAGGGCCTACTACCCGTTTCCCAGCATGTATAATAATGCCTTTTAATTCTGAAAAAAAAAAAGGGCCTACTGTTTTTCGCCCAACACAAGGTACCCGGAAATTTTATTTTATTACAACAAGGGCCTACATTTTTTTTTTTTTTTTTTTTTTTTTAAAGGCTAATTTTTTAAGCCCAACCAATTCAATTACCTGTCAAATCTGGACAACACACTGTAACCCAACATTTTATTTTATTACAACAAGGGCCTACTGTTTTTTGCCCAACACAAGGTACCCTGACATGTTATTACAACAAGGGCTTCCTGTTTTTCCTCCAACACAAGGTACCCTGACAGTTTATTAGGACAGGTTGAGAGTCTTGAGACTGAGAGCATATTCACACCAGAGGACTTTTTAGACTGAGATCTGGACGTAATTGCGGTCATATACATTTAAGTTGATGAACTGCCATTAAATTTTCATCCAGATGGATGAAAATTACTTTTTTCGTTGAACCAAGTTTGGCTGCTTTGGACAGCACATCTAAAAAATGCCAAAAGTTATCTCCTGAGGGTCTGCCCCGATGGACCCCCTCTCAAAAGCCAGGCGTACCTTGACTGAATGCAGTCCAAAGGACTCTGGACCCTCAGGAGAGAATTTTGACCATTTTGCCAAAATTTCAATGGACATGACTTGGCATGCTTACGTCAATTTCCCCCTGGACAGAGGTGGACCGCCCAAATGACAACCGCCCTTGACACGGCGACACGCTGTTTATTTGCGGCCCTGCCTGATCTTGAGGAAAAGACAATCTCTATCAATTGGCTATGAACTTGTATGAAGCCCAATTTTAGTCCTTCGGGACATCCGTTAAAATTGGAACGATACAGAGAAGATTAGCATGGCCCCTGCGCAAGGATGACACGCATAAAGCGAGAAATGGTCCAAATTAAAAAAAAAAAAAAAAAAAAA